AAAAGGTTTTATACATTCAATTTGGAAACTTACGTGGAAACTCAGCCAGAAGGTCCATACAAATTTGTAAATACCAGTAACGAAATAACTCTTCGGTTGATAGATCCTATCGCAAGTACCAGTCGTAATATTACGGCAGACAACTGGTTTAGCAGTTTGTCATTGATCAACAGTTTACTGAAGAAAATCTTACATATTTGGATACCGTAAGAAAAAACAGAAAAAAGGTTCCTCAAGAGTTTTTGCCCGTCCCAGTTCTGTCTCTTTTTGGTTTTCAAGCTGAATGTACTATGGTGTTATATGTCCCAAAGAAAAGTAAGTCGGTGGTATTAATATCTTTCATGGCCAATGATAATGCTATAGATAAAGATACTGGATATAATTGAAAACCAGTAATGATCACTGATTATAACAACACCAAAATCAACGTGGATATGGTAAATCAATTGTGTCAATAAAATAAATAAAATGGTCTTCGATCGTAGACCGCATGACTAACTGTGTCTCAGTTTACCACGTGCCTAACAGAGGGTTAACAATTGTTTTTTTAAATTGTTACCATATGTGTATTATATACCATATTATTTGTAATATATTCGTGAAACCTACCAAACAGATTTTGACTAAATTATTCGAATATTTTGAGAGTCTTTTTGTCGTTATGTATAAATTACAACAGAACAGATTCCCCATGAAAAATTTTAAATCCCAATTCCACGTTGATAAAATCCTTTAATCGCATAAATCGGACAGAATTACAATGCAAAATTGTACTACCTATTGATTTAATGAAAACAGAAATTTTGATTTTCAATAAATTTGCTATATGTCAAAGTATTATCCACTTTAGAGGAAATAATTATACTTTTCACGTACAATTATGAGTATATATTTTAATTATTACACCTACACAAATAGTATTAACAAGTCATACAATAATATATAAAGTTTAACAAAGCACAGTTTTTATACTCAATGGATGTTATGAAAAAAATTACATCGGAAAATATGGCTTTTAAAAACGTCATAACTATACAATAAAAGATGAAAGAAATAAGAGCATTAAGCTAATTTTCTCTATTGAAATAAAACTAAAAAATAAAATAAAATATGTGTATCTGTAATAATTTGCGCTATCATCCTCTGTACATTAGAGTAGAACTGTTTTAGTATGTTGGTACTCGACCTTAAGGCACTTCCTCATAGTTGGATATTAGGTGGCGTATAGGTTAGTTTTGTAAATAACTATTTTACTATCTGTTGATAATCATTATTTTCGACAAATTATTAAATTTAGGTTACCTAATTGGGGACTAAAAATTTTCGGTAGTAGTGCCGGAATAATAAAAAGATATATTCTCTTGCACTAAGATGTCTTTTAGCCTATTCTACTGCGACCTTTTCAGATCTATTGTGGTCCTCTATTGCTAGATTATGTATTTTAGTCTGACCCTTTTTAAAAGGTCTATAGCTTCGAGACTTAACCTTCGATATAGTTCTTTGCCAGAGGCTTTTCCTCGCCTAATGTAAAGAACCACACATTTGTTTGGCTGTCGCACTGATACAAAATGTAAAGCGATGTTTGTTTCTCTAGGTAAGAGAATATGCACAAGTCATTATTTGCCAATCCCATTAACTTTAACTGCCTAGTCAGCTTACAGTGTCCTGTTGACAGACCTACAATAGCTGTTTTCCTGTCTTTGCTTCCTAGGTCTGCTATCAATTTTGGCGAATGTTCTACTGTTTCGCCTGTCTTTGTCCTGGTAAATTCCTCTACTATTCTAGAAATTTTTGAGCTTAAACTTCCTTATAGCCATTCTTATTACTGCTTTTGTTACGCTCCAGAGAAGTTCCGCTTTAATCATTCAACCAATCTGCTGTCTCATTACCCTTATGATCCACGTGCCCTGATACCCATATTATCGTAACCTTGCTAAAATCTTCTAGTTTATTTAGGTCAACCACACAATTTGACACGAGATTAGAATTATTTATCTTTTCATAATTAAATACCTTAAACGCTTCCTGAGTATCTGTTAAGGTAACAATTGAACGGTACGTTCTTTTTTGCCTTTATATTTCTTCCAAGTATTGATGAATTGCAATTTTCGCCTAGAAAATTGTGACATTCTTCAATAGACTTACGGAAAAATGTATCCCTTTATTTTTTTGTACTGTACCGGCTTCTACACACTTCGATGTTTTTGAGCTATCACTGTACCAAGGAGCTTCTGCTTGTATGGGTATACCTTCTTTCCAGTCTTATCTGCCTGTTATAATAATTTTGAATTTATTGTTATCTACATCTCGCTACTTTTCTATTGTCACCACAAAGAGTTGGTGGAAACTTTATCAACTGCTTCTTGAATGTCTAAAAAAGTGGCCGTTGCTGCCTCTTTGTCCTTTATTGACTTTAAAATAAGCTCATTTAGATTATCCAACGCAGGATTACATTAAAATAAAACACCAACTGTTACACAGCAAAAATCAGCCCCAGAGTCTTTGATGGACTGAAAGTAAAGCAGAGCACCAGCTGAAGAACTTCTAGACTGTAATAGACACTCATTTCTTAACGAATAAGAAATTATAGTACGTTAAGGTACAAGCAACAAAGTATTTTTATATATACTTGGTATTACATACAGTAGCTTAAACTTATTCGTAAACCAGCTCGTAAGGTTTTATTATGAAATTTGGAATGTAGTGAAATTTTGCAATGGATTGTATATTTTAATACGTTTTATTTTGTGATATCGACGATTTATGTAATTTTAATAAATTTTAATTGTTTTTTTTTTGTTTTTGTAAGGTTTGTCCATAAAATTGTACAATTTTCAGTGACAACAAATATTTTTATTTTAATTTCTATAACCCATGAAAGACTATTTGACCTGACCTTATTCGGTACTAGTTATGAATCCTCGTGTATATTTTATGTCTCTTCGAGGTATGACATCTCCTTCTGAGGATGGAGTCAAGTTTCGTAGACACCCTGTTTTAATTTTGCTCTTCTTTGTGTGGGTTGTTTTTCGAGGAGCCAAATCTGCCACCAATCCACAAGCTGCTTGTATAACCAACGATTTCTTCAAGAATTTTTGGGCTTTAGTTAGTGAACAAGTCGTGGTTAGTGTGACTAGGTTCTCACCTAAGACAGAAATTGAAAAAACCACAGAAAACTAGTCCCATTGGTTTGTCTTCCTGTCCTTTGTTTGTTGAAGTACCAACTTTTAAGAAGTTTATCAAGGGAATTTACTTCTTATCATATAGGTTGAAATTGTTTGTTGGATACATTGTCGAACTAACGAATTAGTACTCATATGGTGCTCTAAAAGAGTAATGAAAAATAGCTTTTGATTTGTGCAAATATTTGGTTGATTGTGTGGTACGTCGGCGTGATATGGTATATTTGTACATGAAGTATGGTATCTCGCTACAGAAACGGGAAATGCAATTTCTTATGTAAGGGAAGACGTTAGAAAGTATTATAGACATAAAGTGGATTAGTAATTTCATAACTGTTATGAGTTCGTTGGTGGAAATTTGCTCAGGGGTTAGGTTTGTTTCGTATCAGGTGGTAGACTTAAAAAACATATAGAAAAAAATGTACCGTGATTTCCTTGTCAATTTTGGAATAATATGGGAGCATTTGCTGTATAGCGAGCAAGCGATTTGTATTGTGGTCCACATTTATTAAACAAATAATATTCTTTGGGTGCATTTAGTATTAAAATTTCCGCTTTTTCAACATCTCGAGCAGCACTTTAAATAAACGGGAATTACATTGTTTGATTTTGGAATCACGCAATTTAACCTTTTCCATTTATCCTGATATTCTTCGAGAGTGCATTGGTGAACTTGATTTCATAGTCCATGAAAACTCTTACGAAAGATGTGGGTTTGTTTGGATTAGAGGTACTAGAAAAATCAAGAAGAGGCTGTTAGTTTTAATTATTTTCATTTTGGTATTAGTCTGAGTTTATTAGGTGTTTATAGTTGAACAATATGCTATAACCTTTTGGACATCCTGTGGGGTTTTTGGGTCGTATCCATCCATTGTGACAGACCAACGAGAAAAACAAGCTGATGGATTGATTGTCGTTCTCAGTTTCGAGAGTGGAGGTTAAGGTAAAGGTTAATTGGTATGGGATTTGGGTAAAAAGGCGGTTTGAAAAGGGTTGCTGCTACGTCGAAACCTCGTACGAATCATTTTCTTACTCAACATACGGTATCTGTCCGTCGTACATTACACTATACTGCACTAGTTTTGAGATCTTGGGCTGAAAATCAGCGCTGTTCAGCACCAACTGTTGAAAATCAATTAACAAGAAAAGCAGTACAATAAATTGGTTCCCCCATATTCTCACATAAATTATTTTTATTTTCGACAAAATCTATGATAAACTTGTTTTTTTCGTCTAGTTTTCTTGATTTTCGTGTCATTATGACCAGGTTCTTTTACTCACAAACGTATTTGCAAAGATTTTTCCAAGTATTTCTACAGCAGTTTTTTAAACCATAGTACAGCTTCCTGGAAATTGTATTGGGAACTCCTTTCATTTTACAGCCTATTTTTTTACTATTTTATTCTATTATTTATATTAGAGTATATTATTTAAGTTAATGTTTTTTTCTTCATATTTTATTATCCATTATTTAAGTATTAGTTGAAAATATCGATTGTTGCTAACACAAATAAATAGATGATTTAACTAATTATTTTAAAGAACAACTATATAGGGATAAAAAATTTTACATTTTAAAAGTTTAACTTTGTAAAATGTTACCCTTACTAATAAAAAATTATTATTTTTAACTCTTAAGATACTTTCTTGTATTATTTAAAGCATTTATTTAGTAGATTTAGTAATAGTTTACGTGTTCTGCTCACTAAATTGATTATATCATAACAATTGTTTTACTATCAGTCATAGTGCACACAAAATCCCTTCTAACATTTTTCTAGTTAAAGTACATTACATATAATTAATTGCAATTTGCAGGTGTCACTGATGTCCCGAATTGTGCCCTCACCGGACTGGTTCATCGGCATTGATGGCTTCGACCTTTGCGTCAACGGGAATTGGCTGGACAGCATCACTATCGAGGTGAGTAGTGACTATTATTAAGATCTGTCGTGAATTCAGCTCATCATGACGTGCTCGTTGACTTCTGACCCACTTTCGATCAAGCCTACTTGAAATGCTCCAAGTGTGCAGACTTACAGACAAACTTCGTTAGTTAAAGGAGTAGGTACACTGTTAGATTTGCCAGGATAAATTTGGAATTTCTTGGAGTGCAGGTACTAAACCGTAACAAACTTTATAATTAGATTAGAATCAATTTTCCTAAAGCATATTATATTTATAAATAATATATATATTTTAACGGATAATAAAATAATTAAGTTTCTTTATCTTTTTGCAAACTAATATATTATCTTGATTAAGTTACTTACCAACTTAAAAAATGTTTTCATACCAAAAAATATTAAAATATTTTCCTTTGAGAAAAAAGTGGGTCTTAAATAATTTAAAATCTAACTTAATTTTAAGACTTGTTGAAAGAACTTAGATTTTTAAATAAATGTTTAGAAATACTACTGAATATGAGATTAAAAACAAATTCATTGTATACTAAGGTTTTATGGTACTAACCAAGTTGGTGGTACCGTTTGAAAAAAAAACGATTGAGTTAGGATCATGAGGAGCTCAACGTAAACTAAAGTAGGTATCTCCTTTTTACCAGCACAAAGATAATCATGAAGATACCTATTCTGGCGAACCCTTCTTTTAGAGGTAATTCGGCTAACTCCTAAAAAAACAATGATATTAAGTAAAATGACAAGGAAGATAAAAGCAGCTACAAATTTAAACAAACTTTTGATTTAATAAATAGGTAGACTTAATTATACGTTACAGCATATCCTGTATAAGGTGACTAAAGTTCCCAAAAATATAAATGGCTAAAGGCTCAAAGGTGAAAAGATGGATAAAGGCCTTAATGTTAAAGAAAAATACGTCAGTACGAAACACTTAGTTTGCCATGCTATTTTCTATGTGAGGTTGATGGATGAAAAGTTGACGATGTTACTGCGATATTAGATCTAGTTATTTAATAGATGGTAAAACCTGTACTGTATTACACCATTGATTTTCAATTTTATTATATGCAAAATAAACTTGGTGATAGATTAGTTTCCATTCCATGGATTTATAATGCAGCTTGGCAAAATATTCTTCTCCTTCTTCTTCTTTTGATGTAGACATCGTTCCATTATACTTTCTTTTTCTTACTCACTTCTTGATGTTATCCACCTTGCATTTACGTTGTCATCTAGCTCTCTGTCCCATAGTGTCTTGACATCAATTTTCGTCTGTGCTCTGGCTAGCATTCTTTGTCTCCTCTATGTATCAAGTCTTATTTTGGCGCGTATGCCAATAATAATAGAAAATCAGTGGCCCTCTTAAAACCCTAGAGAACCGACTATCTTACTCGCTGAATTAAAGATGCAACTAAATCACTAATGAGAAATAAATCCCCAAGTATTAGTTCAATACCAGATTTTAATAAAATTAAATATAAAGAAACATTTGATTTATGTATTGTTCCGTTCAAAAGTTAAGGGGGGAAGGACTTTTAAAAACCGCACTGTATATGTTGGCAGTAACAAAACGTAGAAATATCTGAAAATAGAACTAATAAAAAAGTTGAAAATAAAAGAAGTCATTGTATTTAATTTTGTGTATAAGTAATTGTAATTGTGTACCATTATATTTAGTTTCCTTTTCTGTCAATCGCTGTCACATTTACTTTCTGCTTAACTATCATCATCATCATTATTATCCTCACTGTCATCACTATCTCCGTTATTTATATTTATTATTTATGTTATCTCCGTTATTTATATAGATCTTTTTTCTGTTGCTATTACGTAGTTTACGTAGTTTTTCCATTTCTCTGGCGCAATGACTTGGTACGCTGCTGTAATTAAATTTTGCATTTCAACTTCTTTAAAATTCGCTTGCGTCCAGCTATATACCGTTTCACTTCACTTCAAACCATTTCGATTTGATTGAGTTCACAGTGATGAGATGGGAGTCTTAGAATCTTCACATTGTGCTTTTTGGCAATATCTTCTGTTATGTACCTGTCATATTTTGCTTTGAATGCCTTGAATACATCAAGTATCTCGCATTTTAGGTAGTCTTCTTAAAAAAATAGATCCTTTGATAGAAGCCATTCTTTTATTTTTTCTTTTAGTGTTGAACTGTTGGAAATTTGTTATGACTTTCTGCTATGATAGGAGACAATGTCCTTTACCACAACAGTTTTTTTGGCAAATTTAGCATTCAGTTATTTTCGAACCAATCTTTAAAGGTCAGTCCATCCATTTTGTCTTGGTAGTTCTGATTATTTTCTTTGCCAAAAACGTGAGCTCTGCTCTATCAACAAATCGACTAGTAGATTTTTCGTGCAATAAAACGAACCGTGCACCACGAGCTGTTGGACCTTTAAATCCTGTTGTCAGACTACGAACAGAAGCATCGCGATAAAATATAATTGTTTGATCAACCCATTCTTTTTCCACACTGTGCCCGATATATGATGAGATATTGAGATGAGACCAAGATAGAGAGGTTCTACATGCAATTAAACGGAAACATAAGATCCACAAAAAAGATGATATATTTATTGTTGGTGATGAGAGATTTCAACGCCAAGGTTGGAAAGGAAAAGTGGACGGATATGTGGGCGACTTTGGCTTGGGAGAAAGAAATGAAAGAGGGGACAGACTTGTCGAATTGTGCCAAAGCGAGGAGATGGTAATAATGAATACAAATTTTAAATTACCTAAAAGAAGACTTTATACTTGAAAATCACCTGCGGATTCAGAAGATAACATTGTTTGAAACCAGATAGATTACATTTTAATAAAATCTAGATATAAAAACGCTATAAAGTCTCTGAGAACATACCCCGGAGCTGATATAAATTCAGACCATAATCCATTTTTAGGCGTAATGCAGATAAAATTAAAGAAGATCCAAAAACAAACAAATATACTACGGTTTGATGTCTCAAAGATAAAAGAAGAACCTATACGTTAGAGCTTAAAACAAGAAATAAATGATAGCTTAAGGAAAATCAAACAAGACGTGATAAAAACAACAGATGTTAATGACAAATGGAACATGGTACAGGAAACTTTAATAAAGGTAGGAGAAAAGCTACTGCAGACAAAAGTAAGAAAAAACAGAGATGGATGACTTGAGAAATCTTAGATCTAATGGAGGAAAGAAGGAAACATAAAGGCAGGAGTAAGACAAAATACAAGGAACTACAGAGATTGATAGGAAAGAAAATAAAAGAGGCCAAATCCACCTGGCTTGCTAATCAATGCAGTGAAATAGAGGTATGTGCTAAACAGTATGATAACTTTAACATGCATAAGAAAATAAAGGAAATCGAACAAGCAATACGAAACGCAAAAAACGGAAAAACTGTAGGTCCAGACGAAATACCTGCAAAACTGCTGAAATGTCTAGACAATGAAACTCTACCTGTAGTTCTGGACCTATTTAATAAAGTATATAAAACTGGAAAAATCCCACAGAAATGGTTGGTGTCCAACTTTGTAGCAATATTAAAAACAGTATACGCCAAAAATTGTTCAGATTATAGGACAATTTCACTAATAAGCCATACCCTCAAAATATTTCTAAAGGTGATTCATGGAAGAGTATATAGAAAACTAGAAGATGATATGGATGATACTCAGTTTGGGTTCCGCAAGGGACTAAGAACGAGAGAGTCATTGTTTGCTTTTAATGTCTCTCATAGATGATTAGATATTTATACCTGTTTCATCGACTTCAAGAAAGTATTCGACAGGGTCCGACATGAAAAACTAATAGAAGTACTAAGACACAAAGATATAGACAGACGAGACTTACGAATCATTATCAATCTGTATTGGAATCAAAAGGCCAATAAAACATAGAAGAACAAAAGTCCGAAAATATAGATATAATAAGAGTAAGACAGGGCTGTGTTCAGTCACCATTACTGTTTAACGTGTACAGTGAAGCCATATTCCAGGAAGCGATAGCGGATCTGGGTGATGGAATCTCTGTAAACGGAAAGAATAATAAATAACATAAGATTCGTTAGTGACACCGTTATAATGGCAGACACCCTGAAATCGCTACAAGAATTGGTAAATAGAATTAACGATTATTGCATTAGATACGGACTAAAAATAAATAAGAGAAAAACTAAATTTATGATTGTCTCAAAAACGCAACATGAAAATGAAAGATTAATGATAGAGCAAACCCAAATAGAAAAATTAGAGACATATAAATATCTGGGAACCTGGGTTGATGACAAAAATGACCAAAGCAGAGAAATCAAAGTCCGAATTGAAACTGCAAGGCAAGCATTTGTGAAAATGAAGACAATGCTCACAAACAGAGACCTTCAGTTGCATCTCAGATTGAGGGCTCTAAGATGTTACATATTTTCTATATTACTATACGGAATGGAAGCTTGGACATTAAAGAAACAACACATAAGAAAAAAAGAAGCGTTCGAAATGTGGTGTTACAGAAGAATATTAAAAATTCAGTGGGTTCAAAGGAATACCAATGCTGGGGTACTACGACTTCTAAATAAGGAGTTAGAAATTATGAACAGCATAAACAGAAGAAAACTAGAGTATTTGGGTCACATAACCAGAGGAGAAAAATATGAGCTGTTGAGAATTATTATGCAAGGAAGGATCCAAGGAAAAAGAAGCATAGGAAGAAGACGCATCTTCTGGCTGAGGAACCGTAGAGAATGGTTTAACTGTAGTTCAATACAACTTTTCAGAGCAGCAGCCAACAAAGTGACCATAGCCGTTGTGACATCCAACCTCCTATAGGAGATGGAACTTTAAGAAGAAGAAGTCCGATATTTACCCATGATTCATCTAAATACACTGTGTTGTATCCTTCTGCACGGTATTTACGAATTGCGCATAAATAACGATGACGCCACGACATGATTTCTGGTTTTTCAATCAAAATTGAATTTCTGCCACGTTTGATAAACACAAAATCCA